TATTGGCGTTTGGCACTTTTGACTATGCGACGGAAGTCCTTTCTGCTCTCTTCGTCCCTGAATATCCTGTATTCGCGTTTGGCCTGTAGGCACTCCGACGTCCACCAAGGTGCTGTCCTACCCTTCTTCACACTCCCGCGTCTACCAGTGACCCTGATTGCGTTGCTAATAGTTTGGACCAGCTTATCAGCAAGATTTTCCACCGCGTCTACTGAAGCCATCGGCTGTAGCTCTATTCCTTGAGCCCAACGACCTAGCACCTTTGCAAAGTCTTCGAGGGCATCGTCTGTCACTCGAAACGGTTGGCCTGTTTTGATAACAGCTCTAGCTTTCGAGTTCGGACGGGGAACGTCTCCTGCAAGAGTTCTGTGGTCCGCTGTCGAGTCAAGCTCTATCGAGACGTCTGCAAGGGCTCCCGCGTTAGACCAGACTAGGTCGAGTGTGTTTCCAAGATCGTGAGTCGAGACGCCCGGGGTCGAAGATAGGTCCATACCGTGCTCGGACATCCATTTGGCGAGCACTTGGCCGTCACCGTGTAGCCTGGTGGCCATGGGCTGCCAGTCAGGGTGGACGGCATTGAAATCTCCACCAACTACTGTGGGCCCAGACGGGGCCCATGATAGGAGCGGCGAAAGGTCTGCTCCAGGAGCGCGATACACTGAGACAAACGTGACTCCTTCAACCTTTACGGCGGTAAGATCTGGTGATGCCTCGCAGATTGCTAGTTGTAGGCACTTGGTCCCTTTTCGCGTATAAATGAGGGATCGTGGCCTTGCGGGGTTGGCTGTGACATGGGGGGGCAAGTGCTTGTCGAACCCAGGATGCGACTTGGTGAGCCAGAAGCCGTCCTTGTGTTGAGTCCAGGGTTCCTGGATGAGTAGGACATCGGTTCCTGAATCCCAGGCGGATTGCAGGATGATGTCTGTAGCGGGGTCTCCTCTGCCCAAATTAGCGCAGAGGAACAAGATAGTTGTTGCCGTTGTGTGTAGCTCGGTAAGGTTGTGGTCCCTTACGGGCATTGAGCAACGTTTGTAGTTTCGTTTTCAGCAGTCGCCTCAGCGGCTTTCTGCTTTGCTTCCAACTCTCGGATCGAAGCGTTTCTTTCTTTTTGACCTTGTTCCCGGATCACCGACAGCTGGTCTCTTGTGCGTTGCACAGTCTTTCCGCCGGTCCGCGTCGGCCTGGCCATGCAGCTAGGCTCGGTTGCGGCATGTGGCCCATGGCAATTGATGCACCTTGGGACGAGCTGTTTGCACTCAGTAGCCTTGTGCTCAATCGATCCACAGCGAGAGCAGCGCTCTGCTCGTGAACAGATCTTAGTTGGGTGGTGTCCCCAGCATCGGTTGCATTGCGCAATTTTGGCTTTACGCTGAAGTTCGTGTGAGCGACCGCTCTCTTCGAAAAGTCTTTCTCCCAGCTCTGGCTTGCCGGTTGCAAAATGCAACACCCAGTCGGTTGACGGCCTAGCCATGCTTGTCGCAAAGGCACGAGCCGAGGTCGGTCTAACGCCTGTCTTTAAGGTCGCTTCCTCCATTACCATCTCCGATGTTACTGGCGTTGGTCCTTCTAAAGTGAAGAGTCTGTCTGGTACATTAAGCGCCAACACTGAGATCCAGTTGGAAGCAGCTTCCAGTTTCGTTTCCGTGCTCTCCAGGAGTACGGCGCCTGAGAGGAGCGCGTTTCTTGCTCCGTCTCCTTCAGCTAGTATCGCAAACCCTGAGTTGACGATGGTAACCTGCTTAATTGCAGAGTTAGCTAAGCGCAGCTTGCTTGCGAGGCTCATTTTGATGTAATGAGGAGACATGCGTCTCCATGGGTGGTCGGGCTTGACCCGCAGGAAAACACGCTCATCTGGGCGAGCTAACTTGGGAGCTGAGGCAGTAGGCCTCGGAGTTTGTGTGGGCCCTGTCGCTCTTGACTTAGACTCGCTGGCTGGTTGCGATTTTGTCGCTGCTGGCGGTGCGGGCTTAGTCTTTTTCCTCACTACCTGAGTCCAAGACCCCTCAGTAACGATTGGGGTTTGTATAGAATCGATGTCGATTGGCCTAGTAGGCTTTGTCGAAGCCGGCTCTTTGCCTTTCCCCTGGCTGCTTTCTCTCGTGAGTATTTGCACTGGTCGTGAAGTGCTCGCGCTATTCTTTCCTCCCGACCTAGTAGCCGACGCAGGGAGGGTTGTCGTCTTGCTACTACTGGCAGCCTCTGATGGCCCACTGGATTGGGGCTCAGGGTTTCCGCGCAGAATGTTTGTGATAATGGCCTGTAAAGCCTCTCCATTCTTTTCGACAGCTCGTCGGAGCTGTTTGTCAGTTGTGACCGCCAGTAGGTTAATGTACCCACTGACGATACGCTCAGCCTCTGCAAAGCGTATGTTAAACGCCCTCGCTTCATCTGCGAGGAAGTTAGTCAAGGAAGCACCCATTGACTGGGGGGGTTTGGGGGCGAGTATTGGCAGCTCGCCTCGCAGATCGGTTCTACGTTTGCTTGTGTGTTGTTGTGGTGGTGGCTAGGTGGCCCTGTGAGGACCATTTCGACGTCAGGACGCGTCGAATTCACGGGTGGGAGAGGGGGCCAAGAGCCAGCCTCTGCGGAGGACTTGGGCGGCATGGCAAGGAGCAAATCAGAGAAAGCTGAACAGTAGATAATCGCGTGTCTGGCGCGTCGAGACAGTTCTTTTTGGAGTTGTGTTAAGACGTGAATGTCAGCATGACGTTTGTGTGTGGCAGACAGCTGGTCGGACTCTTTTGTAAATTTTGATGCTGTAGTGCGCGCTAGAGCGTCGAGTAGTTCTGTAGGGACTGGGCCGTCCAGTACGTGACACTAGTCACGAGCTGTTGACAGTCACGATGTTAACTTCATTCAAAGCCCAAGCAGTCAAAGGTGTCGTTAAATATGTGTTTTCTAACCGACTGATTGAAAAGGATGATTGGACCATACTTCATGGCGAGCGGGGTAATGAGGAGAGACAGTCTAACCTATTACGAGCTAGCTGAACAGCGCCTACAGGTGTAATCACTTAAACAGCTGAGTTTCAACATTCATCTCCTCTAACCCAGAGGGACTGTGGTTAGGAGGGCAAGACTGAACACCTGTCAGTGGTGCTCTCTACGAACCTGGGAGTGAAATATTCTCCCAGAGCCAAGTTCAGTCAAATTTCGCAATACCGAACAAGTTGGCCCACGAGGCAATGATTCAAATGACTCCACCACGTCAAATTTTCATTCCAAAAAAGATCGAATCCTACCTAAGCCTCATCAAGTTTACAAGTACGACCTAGTACATCCTCATTCCAATGACCACACCTCTCGCCGACCTTCTCTGGCCTCAGTCGGTCGCCAAATACACGCCCACGCCGATATTTACACCCGACGGAGGAAGCAAAGCGTGGCGCACAAATCTGGGAGACTGTTCTTTGGGATGGACGTGAGAGGATTCAAGACAAGTTCACAAGATGATGCGAAGGATGGATACAATCTCGACGGGCGTGGAATTTTGGCAAGGAGTTTTTAAAAATTGAGCTTTGTGCGTGCCAAGGCTTCGGTTGCGAGAGTGCAGGCGACACTATAAAAACTGCCATGGTTGGATGATGCGGTGGTACATCGTCTTGGCCGGTCTGCCAAGTAGAGTCTGGATAGCTTGGACACATATCCCACTTGAGACAGTAGATCGCTGGTTCGAATCCGGCAAAACACAACTACATTTCTCGCGGCGCTGGTATGCATGGATGACGAAGGCATGCTTGGATAACCAAAGGTTTTGAAATTCCCTTTGGTGGGTACTAACGGAGGAGGGTCGACTGTTTGTGTAAGCAAGCATACCTCATAGTGGTATTTGCGAATGAAATCCAGAGTATGAGTGTCTCTAACGTCAAAAGAGTCATCCAACATGTATACATAGCACCGGTCATGTGTCATAGCTCCATAGTTGAATACACTTAAATGATTAAAAAAAAAAAGGACTGTGGCTAGAATTAAGCTAGGAAACAGAGGTATATGCCTTGAATACTAGGCATCAAATTAATATAGCCAGGCTTCAGCCTGCTACAGTGGCAACATCATGTGACAGTAATTCGATATAACGATAATTTGGCGACGGCGACTACGACATGTCGGAGATCATTAATTTGCTATATTTACTTTGAGAATGTAATGCGCGCGGGAAGAACATGTCGTTAAAATGAATCCGTGCTGTATCTATCTTTCAAATTCGGTATGGACATGTAAGGGTATATCCAAAATCTGCCCTTGCTTGTATGTATGCAAACTGTGTTCTTCGGCTGTATTTGTTGTACTGGTATAGTGTTAACAGTGTCGCCTGCATTCGATTGACTTCTAACATAAAAAATTATATGCCTCAAAGGATTCAACTATACCCATGTAAGCTGAATTTCTAGCTATTGAGACCAATCTATCTTCATGAGATTCTTAGCTCTTCTGAGCCGAGTTAACTGATGATCAAGCTTACACTAATTGTAGGTTACACATAATATATTGGTCCTTCTGATATCTTTTTGCGAACTTTGAAAAAATTTTGGTAGAAGTCAAAGGAATGTGCAAGAGAAATATTTCATTGCCCCTTTGTCATTACTTTCAGACTGGCTGGAGCGGGTAGATAATGAAGGTCAAAGGGCTCCTCTAAACGTGTGATCGAATGAGGACTTGTGAGGGGTGGTACTGTTCGAGGGAAGCTGTATGGGAGGCATAGGATGGGATATACTACTGCCATAGGTATCCTTGGCCTATAGGCAGAGAGAACCTACATGCCCAACATAGTCATAGACTCAGACAGGACAAAAAATGAAATTATAAAATTATAAAATTACTTTCAGGCTGTGGATAGACTTTACCTAAATGTCCTCTTTGGTATTGGACTCCATTTGACAAAAGTATAATACACAGTATTTCCATTACCCACAACAAATCAATATTTCCATTGGTATCATAATTACAAAGTATCATTCACCTCGCCAACTCCCCGATCCGGTCACAACCATAGTAGCGTAATCATACAACGTAAACTTTCTTTTCAGCCGCATCGCTATTTAAATTACGGAATAATCGTTTTCCCACTTCATAACAACTGATCATGATCGCACATGCAGGAGCTACTTTTAAAGTCCTCGGTATCCATCCCCTGCAGAGACCAGAGACACCTTCAGATTGAAATATGTGCCATAAAAATCTTATCATAGGTCTTTCTTCTGGTGCAACTATATTTTTTGCTCCTTGTACTGTATTTTTTGATCCCGCAAAGACTTGTTGTCGGGTCTTACCCACGTCAAATGGCATGGTTAGAATAGAGGCAATCGCTCCAGAAGTAGCACCGGCGATGAAACTATCAGTGAATGTTGCAGTATGATTTCCAGGGATATAAGGTTGAGCTAAAGTCTGGCTTCCAGTTTCCGTATTTTGCTGATAAACTGTATTTCCCTCGCGTATCTTTCTCAATTTTCCTCGAATGGTCTCATATCCCCACCAATAAATACCCGAGAATGGTACATCTCTCCATAATGTTAATGTCAATCCGCGCCACAACGATGTATAACCATATCTAGATACCATTTTTTTTATTCCTTTGATTGTCTTGGCAAAATGTCCACCCTCAATTGATTTTCTAGCTTGAATTCGAGTTCTAAACATCTCGATGGGGCTTACAACAGTGCCTGCCATCATTCGTGCCGTCGATCCGGCTACCAAAGGCGCCCAGGTTTCAGAAAAGTATTTATTAACTGGACTCGTCTTGTCATATCGTAACCAGTCATAGCCAGTAAAGTAAATGATATTGGCAGGTATATTCATGACTAGAGTTGGAGAAAGCCCACGCCATAGGGTTGTGAAGCCTTCATCTCGCGCGATTTTTCGAAGACCGTCAAAGGTAGAATTAAAAGACTTGCGCTTCACTTCTTCCCACGCACAATTTATCTCTCCTGAGGATCGACCTAGTCTCATCGCTCTAGGTGTAGCCAAACAATATTCGACATTATTGCTAGCAAAGAATACTTCTCGGCAACAATTAGATACCCCCAGGTTAGTTTGTAGTGTTCCAGGAGTCTGTATCCGAACAGCATCAAACTTGGGTGTAGCTTTCGGCGGTACGAAGGTTTGAGACTGAAGACGAATACGAACAACGTCAAGAGGGGTCACTTTGATCGTTAGCATTCGCTCAGGGTATTCCATATCCAATAACAAACTCAGGAGTGAAGTAAGCAGGCTTCCTGACATGGCGGATAGCATCTTTTGTCCGGCAGTAATAGTAATTTCATCTATTTCAACATCCCGACTAGTAGCGGACGTTATAAGCCCTAATTCCAGACTATCTCCTTGCACTATATCAACTTCCGCACTCTTGTTTCTATCCTCCCTCGTTGAATGGGGATTAGGACACCCTTGATGCCTTGACATAGTTCGATTTTTTGAGAAGGTTGCCGTAGAAGTTCTCACGAAGAATGCTTTGGAATTATGCCTGCGCAAGACGATCCAAGTTAATGTAAGCTAAAGGCCGTGATGTAAATTTACAACAAGGCTATATACAGCCTTGCCAAGGCCTGTCCGGTACTTCTGATTCGAGATACGAGATAAAATCCCTGTGCAAAATTTAACCATGTGATTAGCGAGGAATCTAGATAGTTTAGTTTAGTTTATCGTGCAAGGCTTACACCCGCCATCCAATGGACATGACACGCATGGAGGACTTCTAGGTTACAAGTTCCTCCATTCTCCAGCAAAGCCCATCCGGTGCTTGAATTTTCCAAATACGTGCCTCACGCTAGTTACATCGGGTCGAACAAGTAGGGACGCATTCACCATGATCCTAAGACCATGTATTGAGGGAAAACTTTCGTGGAAAAACCTCAATAATTCCTACTGTACTCTTTCACGACGAGCAGTCGTAGTCCCCCCTTAAACAGGCCGTGTAGGAATCCAACCTACCACTTCTAGAAAGCACATCCAGCACCCGACCAACTGTGCCAACAGCCTATTGAAAACCACATATCGTTATTCCAAAATTCTCCCCTGCATTGCGCTCAACCCCCATTTGAGTGGGTTGAAGTTCCGAAATTGAGAGCTCAAAACCGAGGTATTGGCGCCCCAGCTTTTGTCGTACATTGTTCGTTGTCTGAGTGAGGCTTCTTCGTTCGCGCCGTCTTTGGAATGTGTCGAAAAGTTGAGAATGTTGATGTCGCGGTCGAGGTGCTTGTCTAAAATGAGGCCGAGCAATTGCCCAGTCCTGCACACAATGTTAGTAAGGTTGAAAGCGAAAGGAATTTTACCTTTGATTTTGGATGGTTGTTGGTGAGTCGTAAAGTCCTCCCAGTCAAACCCAATCGGGAAGTTGTTAGAAGACTGAATAGAAGAGACCCAAACTTAAACTTTTGATCTATCGTGCCGGGAATGGAACCTAGCCCATGTGTCAACCCTAATCGACTGGGCCACGGTCAGCAAGCTGCCGTTGCGAAGGATGCGATTCTTCTTGGCTATCCTAGATATGCAGAGCATACTGAGCGATTACACCGGCACCACTGGAAGGTGAAGAATTCGACTTTGCCGGCGAGGAATCTAGATATATTATTATTAATTCATTTTATTGTCCTTTCTAGGTCTATGATCATGTAGGACATGCAGGTCCCCTCTGCCTTTCTAGCCTCATTCCAACACTTCACTTAAGGTCGTGCTGAAATGTCAGAAAATTCTTGACAAATCGTGCTTGCTGTATGGCATCTTAGCCAACTTCTTTCGTGTCGTCCAAAGTCCTGGGGAGAATTTGAATTTGAAATCTTTTACGTGACAGGAAGAACCTAACATCTATTTAGACATGACACGGGTAGATGAGATCTGAGAGCCTATTTCTAACTACATGACCGGGAGTGAAGCCAGAGGCGACAAAAGAAAAGGAAAAAAAAGGTACAGTATATGTCTGAGTTACGGTGCCCTGCGCCGCATCCCTATGTTCCAAACACATCTCCTCTCGAGTTAGAAACAATCTCAGCATGGTCACCTCCCACCCTGTTCATTCTTCGGCAGGCTGTAACATTTGCTTGTAGTTAAGAATTAAATGAACTTCTGCCATCCCTTCTCCCCTATCATTTCCCTGGTCCCATTTGGGGCCACCTTCTCACAGCTTCTCCAACGTTGCAAAGCAGGTCGGCACTCTGAAAAATGCCAAGGCCTTTTCCCTCGGCCGCAAATGAATTTCAGATCTTCATGTTCGGGGTTGTAACTTCGATTGTAGTCGGCATAGTCCCGGTGGCCTGTTCTTGCCGCAATAAGACGATGGTACGCCCATCTCGGTAAAGCTAGTTCCGGTGGCGGTTTGCAATGCATGAAGAGATCCAGATCTTTGTATCACTTCGGCCAATACTTCTGCCATTAGCCCTTGGCCGCGCTATTTAACCCACCTCTCTAATGCCGCAAACGTTAGATTTTGATCTTCTCCACTGGGCGCAGCTGAGGTTAGTGACCGGTTATTGGGAGCTCCCAGGCTGATTTGGCCAGCTTATCGGCCTCTCCATTGCCTTGGATCCCCACATGACCAGGTATCCAGCGTATTTCCACAAGCTTATTGTATCTCAGCGATGAAAACTTTTTCATCACTGCCTGCGGGTTCTGGGGAGTGCCGTTAACTTGTCGAAAATAGAAGCACTCCTGTCTAATTAGCCGAAATCTCGAGCTTGGCACCCACAAATGTTCCAAAGTCGAAAACACCTCGAAAGATATCAGTCCCATCTCATGCACGAGATATCACTTTCTTGTCCCTTTCCCCGCCCTAGTCGTCTGTCATTCCTCAAGATGTATAGCTCCGTTAGAACAACAGTCCCCCATAAAGCAAGACCCCAAATTCGTATATTATGACATAATTTCCTCCATGCGAGTACGTGTAGCGTTGTAAAGTTGAAGTGGTTGATAGCCGGTAATGATTGAGTCAAGCTCCTGTTTGCAATTAGAGTAACACCTTTATCGGTCGTTGAGGCGAGGTGGTGCAGTAAGATTGAGGTAGAGGACTCGGGTAAGACTGATAGTTCAAACATTTGTCGAGAAGTCATCGATTTTAGATGTGCTTGTGTTTGCTTCCGACTTCGATTCGGTTGCGACTCTTCTTGACTATCCCATATATGTAGAGCGCACTGAGTGAATACACCGTCACCACTGAAAGATTAAGAAATAATATTTACCAGCCAGGCGAAACAGCAATACCGCCATGGTTGGATGGTGCAGTGGTACATCATCTGGGTCAGTCTCCCGAACAGATTCTGGATAGTTCTCACACATATCCCGCATGAGACTGGAGATCGCTGGTTCGAATCCCACAAAACACAATCGCATTTCTCGCGGTGCAAGTTTACGTGGATGACGAAGGCATACTTAGATAATTTCAGATTTGGAATTTCCCTTCCATGGGTACTCACGGAAGAGAATCGACTGATTGTGTACGCGAGCATATCTCATAGTGGTATTTACGAATAAAATCCAGAGTATGAGTGTCTCTAACGTCAAAAGAGTCGTCAGACCTATACATAAAAATCTGATTACACGTTAATTGATCTAAGAATGTACATGTTTGAAGACGTCCACAGGGCACTATACTAGTCAAAGACAAAATATCAGGCATTTTTAGATTTCGAATACATCACGCCACGATTTTTATAACTTTCCGTCCTGTCATATGGTCCAAGCAATGATTTCCAACAATGTGGCCTTGTCAAGTTGAAAAAGATGGCGACTATTGCGCAGTGAGGCACGAATAAATCCTAGACATCTAAGATCATTCAGAATTTGCGCCGCTTCTTCGCTCAGCTATGTCCACATCACATTGTCCCATAACCAGATTTTCAGTTTCATTGGTATTCCGCCAGTGACTCTTGCCCTGTGTAAGCAACATAATTACATGATAACTTCTGATAAAAGCCAAGTTATCAGATTCGTGTACTTTGACAAGTAGTTTTCAAGTTGCAGGAAACTAATCGAGTCTTATACGGGACAGGTCTATATTTTATCAGGAACAACTTCAAGAGATTGGGCCACGAGAAGACGGGGAGAAGAGCAAGCAGAGGACGAGAGAGAAACCATGAACACTTACCGACCCACAGGAAGCACAAGTTTTAATGCCACTAGCAGCAGCCCCACATTTAGGGCAAGAGCTGTGCCCCATCCTAAAAGATTGATGTGGTGGTTGGTTCGTCGCTGGAGCGGGTGTAATGTAACGAAGAGGGATATCCGGATAGCGGGTTGATGAAGGTAAGGCGTTGTGAATCGTGACCAGAATTTTACCTGAAACTAATGATGATTGACAACTTAAGTGGGCATGACGGGCTCTTGTTGACTGCTTTATACCAGTCCCGCCAAGTGTCGGGCCCGCATGCGCCCTCAGCAACGCACCGCCTCCATTCTGCCACTCAGCGGGGCTTCCCCCCGCTGAGAATGCCCAACATAGAGCCGTCGCATTCCGACATCACCACGTGAGAACCACCGTGAAAGTATCTTCAAGCCAAATCTAGCTCTCCATCCTCGCCCCATGCCAGGAGGATAGACAGAGAGGGGTAGCCTGAGATTTGCTTTGCTGCAGTGACCCCTCTACATCTTTTCCATATCTATACGTACATAGGGCACAAGTCATGTGTCAAAGCAAAACGGATGCACACGCAATAAATGTTTGAATGAAAAAAAACCTTGTCTATGAATCCTTGTGCACAACTCGTAAAAGTGGCCAGGCATTCCTAGAATGTTACCCACAAAAAAGGGGCTAACGTCTTCGCCAATCCAATTTAGCTCTTTTCCGCCGAATCGTTGGTAAATAAGAGCTGCGCACCTACATGCGGTTCGCTTTTCAGTCCGATTTTTTTTGCGTCAAATTTTGATTGCGTATGCAGCTATCTAGCTATGACACAATATCGAAGAAAGTACAGAATAGATGACTCAATTTACAAGAGGAGCACTCATGCCTCGGATTGCATTTGCAAGTACCACTGCGAAGTTATGGTAGCTTTTTCTTCACCCCAAGTCAACCCTCATCCGTGAAAACCCACCCAGGAGAACGTCTCAAAAACCCTGAGTTATCCAGATGTGCCTCCGTCATCCATCAACTTTTCTCCGCGCGAAATGTAATCTGAGATGTCTCCTTCCCAAGTGGAGAGCTTTACGGTCATTGGACTTAATTATTGTCCTTAACCCGAGTTCTCTCAAATTTTGCATTACTCTAGAACTTAGCACACGAGCTCATGGTCCAAGGCTTATGACCACTTTCATCGGAGGGCAAGACTGAACACCTGTCAGTGGTGCCCTCTACGAACCTGGGAGTGAAATATTCTCCCAGAGCCAAGTTCAGTCAAATTTCGCAATACCGAAGAAGTTGGCCCACGAGGCAATGATTCAAATGACTCCACCACGTCAAATTTTCATTCCAAAAAAGATCGAATCCTACCTAAGCCTCATCAAGTTTACAAGTACGACCTAGTACATCCTCATTCCAATGACCACACCTCTCGCCGACCTTCTCTGGCCTCAGCCGGTCGCCAAATACACGCCCACGCCGATATTTACACCCGACGGAGGAAGCAAAGCGTGGCGCACAAATCTGGGAGACTGTTCTTTGGGATGGACGTGAGAGACATCAGGACAAGTTTACAAGATGATGCGGAGGAAGGATACGTTTTCGACGGGCGTGCAATTTTGAAGATTGGCAAGGAGTTTCCACAAATTTAGCTTTGTGCGTGCCAAGGCTTCGGTTGCGAGAGTGCAGGCGACACTATAAAAACTGCCATGGTTGGATGATGCGGTGGTACATCGTCTTGGCCGGTCTGCCAAGTAGAGTCTGGATAGCTTGGACACATATCCCACTTGAGACAGTAGATCGCTGGTTCGAATCCGGCAAAACACAACTACATTTCTCGCGGCGCTGGTATGCATGGATGACGAAGGCATGCTTGGATAACCAAAGGTTTTGAAATTCCCTTTGGTGGGTACTAACGGAGGAGGGTCGACTGTTTGTGTAAGCAAGCATACCTCATAGTGGTATTTGCGAATGAAATCCAGAGTATGAGTGTCTCTAACGTCAAAAGAGTCATCCAACATGTATACATAGCACCGGTCATGTGTCATAGCTCCATAGTTGAATACACTTAAATGATTAAAAAAAAAAAGACCACTTTCATCTTTTCCTCCCGGCAGAGTTGATTACAACCAGAGCCTAACAAGCCCCAAAAATAAGACCTAGTTTATGCCGATGCCAAGAATGCATGGAATCTTGAAAGGGAAATAATTCGACTGTTAGAAAATCTGTACACTATGTTTGTTTTTGTGAGAGTGCAAGCAACACTATCAACACTATTATGGCTGGACAGTTGTAAAGGGTCCAAGGAATTCGGAAGTACTCGAAAGTCGTTGACTCAATAGGAATTAATTATTTTTCCTTGGGAAGCTAAACTACTGTATCGTATCCTGCCTTTTATGTCTTCCGCGTACGCTAGTGTTAACTCCCCCCTTTGGCCATATGAGAATACTCCTTTCTCCCGGCTATCTTCCTTAGCTCCCTGAGAATCATCCTTTCTCCCGGCTATCTTCCTTAGCTCCCCTTTAGTCTATCCAGGGGCGTTGCTCTGCCACTACCTTACCTTAGAGACGGAGTGGTCCTAGTGACCAGTCCCAGTCCGGGCAAAGCCCGTCACAACAGTACAGTGATATATCATACAGGCTGGTCTTTAAAGTGGATTCCGAAGACCTTCGACATCGGTTTGACTTGAAATAGGAGATGACTGTTTCAAATTTAGCAAAGCTCCACAACATTTTTCGTGGTGCTCGTTAGCTTTGATGGCGGGGTCACATTTGGATAACCTAAGAAATTGAAACTTCTCTTAGGTAGATACTCATTGAGGAGGCTCGAAAGTTTTATGTATTCCAATACACCTTACTGTGGTTAACTAATTACTTTTGAAATTGAATTTGATTTCAATTAACCCGATCAGGCACCCTATGAGTCCATGCAGGTGACTATCTGCAATATTTACAAAGGAGGAAACCAATTTGGTGAAAACCCCCTGATCCTGTCTTTTTATGTTCCTATCAATTTATTTGGTTTACCTTCAGGAAGTGCAGTGTACACTGATCAGCCCGTGTGGATTCCGTCCTCTCCCCTTCTAGATCTATTTACTTTATCCGACATTGCTACCTCGACTTCTCCTGTCAGTCGAAACTGTTTTATCCACCCTTTGTTTAGTATCCACTGTGTAATTCTGGCCACATATTCTGGGCTGTTCATCATTGCTTCAAATGACCCGTCTTTAGCTTGTCGGAGAAAGTCGCCTCTTCCATTTGCCCACTGCGGACACGCCAACACCATATGCTTGACGTTTTGCGACGGATATCCACATTGACAGCTTGTCTTTTCTACTCCGGGTACTTTTCTTCTGCTCAGGTAAGAATTGAGTCCGATATGCTCGCTCCTTAGCTGAATGGCGACGCTGCTTTGGGCCCTGGTTAGGTTACGGTGGATTTATAAGGGGGTATCTTTGAAGTTCATTTTGACGCTGCCTGTTTGCCTATCAGTAAATATATTTGCCGCTTTCTAACTAATTACTTTATTGTCCTTTCTCAGTTTATGACTACCGTGGTGCCACGATTTCAAGTTTTCAGTGGATTTATATGGGGCGAATATTCACTACAGGGGTTGCACCCCTGTTAGCGCCAAATTCGACAGGGTACATAATTCTTGTCCTGTATTTCCAGGCCTAAACCGAGGGCACAATTTGATTTCATGTCACCCTCAGTTTTATGCAAATCCAACCCACTCTCTTATTCATTCCCATTGCTTTGATGAGCGCCGACCGCTAAAAAATTACACAGCTCTTCTCACCTTTTGCTTAAGTGGAGGACGAAAGCTGAACACCTGTCAGTGGTGTCTTCTACGAACCTGGGAGTGAAATATTCTCCCAGAGCCGAGATTCAGTCACGACAAAGGGTGAATTTGAGAGTTTTCGTCGAGTTGGCGATCGGGAGGAGTGGTGTTGGCACATTTTTGGTCGAAAATCCGATTTGCAGAGATTTCACGACTGCACAAATCAACGAAATCAACCATCTACATCCCAGATACGAATCACAGACAGGCTAAAACCTGTCCGATGTTCGTATTAAAACAACCGTCACCTTCAAGATAATATATTCTATTTCTCTGGAAAATCACTCCTAGCAAAACTTATCTCGCGGCCCTCTCCACAATCATCTCACCACCTAACTAAGCAATCCCATACCTCCAAAAGCCAAATCGCCGACAAATAAGCAAGATGAGTCCGACTCTCCGCAACTGCCAGCCGCTGTGAAGGTACGGTCGAAATACCGGCCTTAAATGCGTCCTCATCTCGGCCAAGGGCACCAAAAACTCGACCTGCGACGAATCGCCACCGATGAAATACGTACGACATTTCGCCGGCACACCAACAGAGCGTTCGACAAAGGCTGGGGCATCGGTGCTTCGGTCTTGAGCTCTCAGTCGCGGTTTCGACTTCCAAGGCTAGGGGTACGGCAGCGACGGTGCAAGGACGGAGGGGTGGAAATTCTACAAAGTTTCTGGGATGCCGAGATCGGCTGAAGGACAGAGAGATGCTGCATGAAGGAACAAAAGGGAATACAAACTTAGGAGGCCTTGGTGGGCGACTGGGTGAGGAGGAATTTGCGCTTCGGCGCGCCAAAAGAGGGTTCTCTGGACAGTTGGGCTTGACATGATTCAACACATGGGTGAAGTCTGAGGTGGTCCAGTCATTTAGGTGGGACGAGGTAGATGTACTTCATGGTAGTTAACCTGATCCAGCCCGGCCCCACACGTGCTTAAGCTCCAGCAGGAGTGCAACAGAATCACTTCACCTACCACGTAAATGAACAAGACAAGACAAGATCTTGTGCTTGAGTTACAATAAGAATTAGATTTCTCAAATACAAAGTTATTTATTCAGAAGACACATGGCTTTACTCGATAATAACCTTATTTTGCAGATGAATCTACCTCAAAACCCACCATCAACACCTCGAGTAAAACAATTATCTAGAGATTAAAACATTTTAGTGAGTAGAAAAATTAGATATGAACAAATATAAATTAAAAGAAAAATTAAGATTTATGGGCTTTATGAATCTGGCAAAAACCAGACGCAGATTGCCGCGCAACTAGGCATTTCTCGGGGACAAGTTATTTATTCACTTCGCCGCGGAACTGTCTCCCCAAAAAAGAGAAAAAGAACATGTTCAAGACTGAAAGCAGATGATATTGATCAGATTATATCACGTTAACTATTACCTGGAAACCGCCGCAAAACATTTCTGGAACTCGCCTCTGGCCCCTTTAGACATCTTGGTGTTAGCGAGCGGGTAATATAAAGAGAACTTAAAAAAAGGATATCAGCGACATGTGGCTCGTCTATAGCCTCCAATATCTCAGAAAACTATGAAGACACGCAGAGAATGGGCCGAAGCTCATCTCAATTGGACATATGAAGACTGGACGTCAGTTTTATGGACAGACGAAAATTGGGTAGAGGATGGAAGACATTCTAGAGAATGGCTGACAAGAAGTGTTCGTACATTTCTCAATAAGAAAATGGTAATTTGATGCTCTAAAATTATGAGCTAGACTTCCCAAGAATACAACGCTGATTGTGTTGGAGAAAAATCGGAGAACAGGGACGGATGGATGTTCTGGGGTTGCTTCGCAGGGCCAGAAAAAGGCCCTTGTTTGTTTTGGGAGAAGGAATGGGGTTCCATTAACTCCCAAAAATATTGCGAGAAGATAGTTCCTCTTATCGATGGCATGGTCTCGATGAGACCTTGGCTTTCCGTAATGCAGGATAATGCTCCTGCCCACACAGCCGCAATTACAATGGAAGATATGAGCCAGAGGCTCATTCAACCGATTTTCTGGCCGGCCAACTCGCCTGATCTTAACCCAATGGAAGCTATTTGGAATAGGATGAAGGATTACATCCAGCGTCATCATCCGAATCTGGGTTGCGGAAAGCAGCGAACTCAAGATAGTATTCGCAACATTGTAAAGGAGGCATGGGATTCCGGGTCTTCAGAAGATCTTGTGAGACTCATTCAGAGTATGCCAGCAAGATGTCAGGCTGTGGTAGATGCGGATGGGGGACCGACCAGATATTAAGGCCTGAAAATATTCCAGCCACATGTTCAGATGTAAGGTTAGGATAAGACTGGCTCAATTTTGTAATTTGAAAACCTTTGAACTCTTGTAAATAAGTTATAAAGTCAAGTAGCAAAAATGCACAAATATTATGCAGCCGATCATTATACAAATTAGGTTTAGTACGAAGGAAAGACCCACTGTAAACTATGGTGTCCAGATAAAAACTGCCATATAACTTTTTTCGGAAATTTGCACAAATACGGGGGCTAACTCCAATATGGAAGGTGACTATGCCTAAGGCGTCTTAGGTAACACGCTGAAACCCCTGCCAAAGCCCCCATTGCAAACTTGACACCGTAGCACCATGGTACATAGGACATGCGGGTCCTCTCTGCCTCCAGGCCAAGGATACCTATGCCAGTAGTATATCCCCTACTATGCCCCCCATACAACTCCCCTCAAACAGTACCACCCCTCATAAGTCATCATTTGATTACACGCTTATAGGAGCTCTTTTCCCTTCATTGTCTCCCCTCTCTAGCCCACGAAACGATGGCCATTTGCGAGTGTATGGCAGCCGGGAAAAATCGCAAATAGCACTGAGTGCGGGGCTCTCCTAGTATCAAAATCAGGACCAAGTCCACTTCACTGTGATATCGGCAAATAAAATCTAGGTGAGTGTCTTCCAAGTCATATGGCTCATTTACTATGTGAACATAACACTTTTGGTATGTTTTTGAGCTATAGCTGAATACTTTGCGAGAAACGTGGCACTAATGCTGGTTATTTTATTAAAGGGATATACTCAAGTGTGTATACTGTTTCATCAAGGCTGAAGATTATCAGACTCTGATATACTAGGTCGCTTAGTCAAAATGTCATGTCTGATGAACTTGACACTGGGACTAAACTGCTTGCCGTTGTTGAGTGGAACCAACACAGCACAGATTGAATAATTCAAAAATTTTCTATGGCTTGATAACTCCTAGTCTGCATCGAATGAAGACCTGTGGGGGTATTACTGCTAGAAAGAAGTCGTGAAGGAGGTATAGGATGGAGTGCACTAACCAAGGCATGGAGACTCCCGGCCAGTAGGGAGAAAGGACCTACATGTCCTTAAATAGTTGTAGACTCATTAGGACAATACACACTCCTCGACCAAGACTTTTCTGACACCCTTTCACGACCTTCGGTTTGTCCTGCTGCATGAATCAAGGGAGGAGTAAGGAGAAGGCTAGGAAGGTTGAGAGATGCTCTTAGGTATGCACAGGTCTGCTACGCCAGGCTGGCCGGCCTCTTCGTCATAGGAGAGCCCCGCACTGAGTGGTCTTTGAGACTTTTCCCTGCAGCTACACACCCGCAAATGGCCGTAGCTTCGCTGGTTGGAGAGGGGGGGTAATGACGGGATAAAGTCTCCTCTTAGTGTGTACTCGGATGAAGAAATGTGGGTGTATTACTGCTGGAAAGAAGTCAAGAAGGAGTCACAGGGGGGAGTACACAACCCGAGGCATAGATACTCCCGGCCTGTAGGCAGAAAGGACCTACATGTCTTTACATAGTTATAGACTTTTTAAGATAATGAACAACCACTCACTCACTCACAATACACACTCACTTATCCCTGGTCTGCATGTAGCGAGATCTTTTTTCGTAAATTTGTCCTAGGCTCGCTTAGAGGATAAAATTAATTACCAATCGGAAGCCATATCTATACCTGCATGTTCCCAATGCTGCGGATGACTTTATTCTGCCAAGCATTTTGCAAGCTGAGATCCCCGCCCCCGCTTTTAGATACCCCACTATAATTTTCAAACACTTTAAAATCATACTCGTCCTGAACTTCATATCTAGACGGCTGAATGTAATCAAGTCTCGTAATAATGTCGGTCTCATATCTCTCAATAACTGCTTTCTACATCACAGTCGTAATATTGCTTGCACGACCCATTCACGCCTTCGGTGCTGGAAATATTGCCTCGGTCTCGACAATTGAGGGTAGCAACTGGCGCCATGGAGATATTGAGGATACATTACTTCTGCTTCTCATGTCCAAATCAGCCGGAGGAAAAAAGTTTGACAAACTCAGTGTTGCACGTGTCTACTTTGGCAACTGGCTTAGAGATTACTGTGAATTATCTTGGATACTCCCAAAGCTTAACTGACATGTAAAAGCTCAGGCCATCGATGTCGGAACTGTCAAGTACGTATCAGCAGAAGCTATACGTATACTTCTCTGGATTCTTGGGTTTATGACTTTTGGGTATGGCACAAAAGAGTTTGAAGTTACGTCTAGTCGCCTCGGTTGTTATCGGCCTGAAGGTGAGTAAATACCAGCTCGATAATCGCGGCTATACTTCTAGATATGAATCCTCAAAATTAAATGGTTCCTCCAGATCATATCGACAATCCAAAAGATTATGCCGATAACGTAGACGCTTCTCAATATGATTCCCGTCTCCGAGGTCCAGTAAACGAACGCATTGAATTGGCAATTGACCCAAAAACTGGAATGAAAAACTATATTGCCAACGAAAGAGTAAATATTATGACGTCTGCTTTACATGTCCGAAAAATTTTTGTTGAAAGTGTCCGGCTTGGTAGGTCATATGCCCGAACCAACAACAAGGATGAACTTTTCGAAGCCCTTCGTCTACTTGGTACCGGTCTTCACTGTTTAGAAGGTAAGCCTTGTACAAAATTTTAAACAGATTTATGAGTTAAGCCAGAAAGATTTCTCTGCCCATTCCAACTATATTGAATTAGCACTTATTGAGCTTGGAGAGCGAAACACGTTTCCTCATGTCGGATCTCGCACTCAAATACGTCTGGAGGGCTCCCGAGAATCAGTCTTCCCTTTGGTTACTGGAACATTTGGTGGAGTTGATTTTTTACACTCTGTGCTAGGGGAGTTTAACGATAAAGCAACCCAGAGTGAAATCCAACAACTTGAAGGTACCATGAAAGCAGACAGCAAGGGTGATACTTCTCTACTCAAGGAACTTTTGAATAAGATACCCGCAGGTATACTTGGTGGAAAAAATGATGCGAATAGAGCAGATCAACTAAAAACTGATGCTGCTGCTGCACAAGTGAATAACGTTCGAGTCTCCCCTCGCAAGCCCGAGGAATTTACTCGACAGATGCAAGAAATTGTTAAGCAAATTTTTCCCATCATTGAGTGGCACGACGATGTCATGAAGAATCTTACGGAGGTAAGATATATGATTTTGCAGCACAATTTTTATGCTCCTAACGGCTCAATCAGACAATTGAGAAGCTTCCAATTTTACCGGATCTTATTTCTACTCTTGAAGAACAGCTCAATATTTTTGTGTTTTCCTTGATTGCACCCTTCATTTTACCCGTTATCAATCAAGTCAAGGATGAACTAAGCACTGGCTCCTCTGAAATCATAAAAAGTAGTGTGGACAAACAATTTGTCGTTTTTAATGATGATCATTCAAGTGATCCAACTCATTCTATGTTGTCCAAAGATCATTTTTCAAATGTACGTCAAAAATTTCTTCAAATGCATTGCTAATTTAATAGATTCTCAATGAACCTGCTGGATTGATTGCTTCAGAGGTACTTAAGTGGGTCGTACCTCAGCTTATCCAATGTTGGGATGATGAAAATATTGATTGCAACCGTACTATAAACAGAATTGTTAACGGAGTATTTAACCACCCAGCACAACGTGATCATGGCGAAGATGGTGCCATGGATGGGCGTCGTATCATGTTTGAGGTTGTTAACAAGTGGTGGTCTAAGATAGATAGCCATAAAAAGAATGAATTACGGCAAAAACTTTCTCGCAATGGGGTACAAAATGGGGATAATCACGTTGGCTCGAAAGATTCAGGACATGGATGTGGTCATCCAATAAAAATGAGCAAAAAAACAAAAAACGGAAAGCTTGGCTCAGGAGCAGCAGCTATGGCAATGAATGAGCTGAGTTCGGCTTTTACGGGAAAGAAAACCTCTGGTGGGTCATCAAATATGGGAAAGTTAGCTTCTAATGTTGTAGGTGGAGGACACCTTGGAGGTTTGGTTGGTGCAATTGCAGAAGGAGCTGGAGAATCACTATTTTCAGGTCGTAAAAACTCAGACGCTCAACATCATGACTCGTCAAGTCCTACTCAGCAAGAGGACTATATGCAAAATTCCACTACAAATATGTATGGAGGCGGAAATAATGCACCATCTGGTTACCCTCAAACAAAGCATCACGGCTCCTCCGGACATGAATCTTCAGGCTATGGTCAAGAGTCTAGTTACAAGCAGAGCCATTCTGGAAACGAGTATGATAGCGGGAATAATGCACCATCTGGTTACCCTCAAACAAAGCATCACGGCTCCTCCGGACATGAATCTTCAGGCTATGGTCAAGAGTCTAGTTACAAGCAGAGCCATTCTGGAAACGAGTATGATAGCGAGAATAATGCACCATCTGGTTACCCTCAAACAAAGCATCACGGCTCCTCTGGACATGGATCTTCAGGCTATGGTCAAGAGTCTAGTTACAAGCAGAGCCATTCTGGAAACGAGTATGATAGCGGGAATAATGCACCATCTGGTTACCCTCAAACAAAGCATCACGGCTCCTCTGGATATGGATCTTCAGGCTATGGTCAAGGAAAACAACCTACACAGGACTTTTCAGAGCCTAGCTACCAAGATGGATTAAGCCATAAAACTCATTCTGCCTCGAAAAATTTCGGTAGCTCGTCTAGTCAAGGAAGAGAAAGTCATCAGAGCTATGGAGGTAACGATTCAGTAGGAGGGTCTTCCAAATACGATGAGCAGGGAAACTATGGCAAAATTCACGAGGTATGTGAGATCGAAAACTTTGGTTTTATAATCTAAATTGAAACAGTATGATGGTTCCGAAGGGCTAAATTCTGGGCGCAAAAGCGATGGGCTTAAAAATACGCTAGAAAACTTGGTTGGTGGTAAAGCTATTGGGGGATTTGTCAATGCATTTGTGGGTAATAGTAGCCAAGGAAATCGTGAGGGAAATAATGATGGGCAGCAAAGAAAAAGCCAAGGTGGCTGGTTTTCCTGAAAATATAGTGTTAGCAGGTACTCTAAGTATTCGCCTCGTAAATCCTATCACAGTGACAAATTTATTCTGACAAATTTTTGTGCATTGACCTGTACTTAGATTCCAAATTCAAGGTAGCCCTTGCAAGTGTAAGGACCTTTTGCAAAGACAAAAAACTTCAAGTAAACGATCCAATAACAAACCCTCTTGAGATCTAATTTGACTGCTATCTTCTTCGGCTTAAGGAAAAAACTTTATGCAATCGTTTTAGATTATATGATTGATCGAATATACATCGGAAATTCACCAATTAAAATTTTTAACAAACTTCAATGGTGTAATGTAAGCTCATATCATAAGAATATAACACAAGTTAAAGATTCTAGAGAGAAATAAGCGGGATACGATATTATGTCCAAACTGATGACCTGAAATCTAAATACTGTATAAGAAGATCATTTGATCTAACTCATTCAGCTCACATGAGTAGTTAGAAGTACTAACTCTAGACAACGATTAAAATGAATTTTTATATGATTTATATTTGATTCTGGGCACAACGTTCCACGAGCGCTTTCATTTTTTAATTTTTATCTTAGTCGTGTGCTCTACATAAATTTATTCCATCAACCGATATTTAATCGTTACAACTCGGGATAGTGGGTACTGGTGTACAGAGATTTCAGGGTTTCAACGCCTCGCAGTTAGCAACAACAATAGCCACCGACGAAGTCAAAGGAACGTCAGCAGTGTAATTCCAAGGGACCGATGAGCTCTCTTAGGACAAAGCAAAATTTCACATGGAAAATATCAGGAATTATTTGACAGGAGTGAGCGGAGTTGTTATAGATGGTGAGCACAGTAAATTTTCTTGAGTAAGGCTTAGATATGATTCTATGTGTAGGAGTAAAGTTGTAGACTTTAGGAGAGATTGGGATTTGATAAAGTATGGTGAATAATTATGTGATCTAGTATGGACACCTCACTTTGGGATTAGGGGACAGTCAGACGTAGGTTCACTAGGCGCAAGACTCGAGGCGTAGGAGAGGGCGTAGCGTACGATGTACTGACGAAGGACACCTCGTGGGAACGCGGAGGGCTTTCTAGAGAAGTGGTAGATGGGAAAGCGTGGAGTCTTTCTAGATAAAGTGGCTATAGGTGACGGTAGGACACTATGTTTGGCAGAGGACGAGAGAGAGATGTGATTAGAATTATGTATTTATTCCTAAAGACAGAAAACAGAGCGTGAATTTTATGACATATCAGCGCGAGCTTCGGGAAGGAGTTGGAAGGAGGCTAGAAAAGCAGAGGGTAGGAGGACAAGACTGAACACCTGTACGCGGTGTCCTCTACTAACCTAGGAGTGAAATATTCTCCCAGAGCAAAGTTCAGTCAAATTTCGCAATATCAAAGAAGTTGGCCCATGAGGCAAAAATCCAAATTACTCCTCCATATCTAATTTTCACTCCCAACGAGTCCGAATCCTATCCAAGCCTCATCAAGTTTACAAGTACGATCTAGTAAATTCTCATTCCAATGACCACACCTCTTGTCGACTTTCTCTGGCCTCCGCCGATATTTATACCCGGCGGAGGAAAAAAAGCGTGGCGCACAAATCTGGGAGACTGTTCTTTGGGATGGACGTAAGAGACATCAGGACAAGTTTACAAGATGATGCGGAGGAAGGATACGTTTTCGACGGGCGTGCAATTTTGAAGATTGGCAAGGAGTTTCCACAAATTTAGCTTTGTGCGTGCCAAGGCTTCGGTTGCGAGAGTGCAGGCGACACTATAAAAACTGCCATGGTTGGATGGTGCGGTGGTACATCGTCTTGGCCGGTCTGCCAAGTAGAGTCTGGATAGCTTGGACATATATCCCACTTGAGACAGTAGATCGCTGGTTCGAATCCGGCAAAACACAATCACATTTCTCGCGGTGCAAGTTTACGTGGATGACGAAGGAATACTTAGAAAATGTTAGATTTGGAATTTCCCTTCTATGGGTACTCACGGAGGAGGGTCAATTGTTTATGTAAGCAAGCATACTTCTTTTTTTTTTTTTTTTTAATTCATAGTGTATTCAGCTATCTAGCTATGACACATCTGATTATTTTATATATAAATACAAATATTTAGTCCCAATTTCCTTTACTTATCTTCTAGTCTCCTCCCTTTCAGTCAGCTTTGGATGCATTCATGCATCCATTGCTTTGAAGGAAGTGGAGAGTTGCTTCTTTTCCAATTTTTGTATTAAACAATATCTCTAATCTCAATGGCAGTATACCTTTAAAAGCTTCCTTTCTTTCTGTCTTAAACTTACTACAATAAAGAAGTAGGTGTTGAACAGTCTGTTTTCCCTTCCAACAAAAGTTGCAAGAGTTATCCTTCACTTTTTTAATTCGAAATAAATGGGCCCTGGTATTTCCAATCCCTGTTCTTGCTTGTATAAATGAAGATTGTGTCATTCTACTGTAATGACTAAAGTTGTATGGTCTCATTTGGATGATAGGTGATCTTTTCCTGGCTTGCACTTGATAAAGCCTTCCCAGTCCTTTAGCCCTTCTACCCTCTTCCTGTCTCAAGACTTGGGTCTCCCAGTCATTTTTCCAGGCTTTGAGAGTCACAAGCATACTTCACAGTGGAATTCGCAAATGAAATCCAGAGTATGAGTCTCTCTAACGTCAAAAGAGTCATCCTATATGTATACATAGTACCGGTCATTTGTCATAGCTCTATAGCTGAATACACATTAAGCGATTTAAAAAAATATAAATATAAAAAAGACCCACCGATAAGGCTAACTGTTATACGGCTCGTACTTACAAGTGAAGGGTTTCTTGTATCACGTGATGTTGGGTCTGGTTGAGTAAGCGTCGGTCCCGGAAGCGAGCTGGCCGAGTTTTCATGCCAGCGAGGCCGCTGATCATTCGCATTTATCATCTTTTCTTACAGTTATCGTGCGAAGCTTTAGGTCTAAATTCAAAGCAATAATTCTCTCAACTCTGGAAGGAGTCTTCTAGAACGAACCTGAGGTCAGTCGTAATAAACTGAATTGTGCGAGCAAATGTGCTACACAGTGATGCTTGCAAATGAATCTAGACGAGAGGCATTCCAAATGTCAAGAAAAACATCTAATACGTACATAAAACATTATCCATGTGTCAAAACGAAATTATTAAGTATGGAGCAGACGATATGGCCAGAATAGAGTTCAAAAGTTTGGATCGGTCGATATTAATTTATATTGATATTTCTCTCATGATATGCATGCAGAGTCTCAAATAAGGACCATAAAGGTGGGATCAAAGTCCCTTAAAATCTGGCCTTTCCATCGGATAAAATTATCATCTTCACTCTTGGCTCAAGGGTAAGTTTTTGACATCAGTTGGTGTCCTCAGCCGTGTTAAGGTTATTGTCCCCGTAAAAGGTTGGGTCAGTGAGTAGCCCAATGTGCAAGGTTGTCGCTGACTCACGTAGCGCAGTAAGAAACCAAACCAATCCCCGTAGAAGGCGTTCTGCTGCTCTTCGGTTTCAGCTCCAGCAAGAAAGATGGGGAGTTCAAGGGTATGGGATTAAAAATGGATAATGATACTATCTACCGCTACCCCTGCGAGAAAGTAGCAGTTACAAGATAGGCTTTCCCCCGCTGCTCGGACGCAAAATTTATCGTCACGTTTCAATATGTTTCTTCTAAATCGTAAAATCTGAAAACGATTTGGTTTTCATCGCCTCCAAACATTTAGAGTGTGTCCATCGACGCATACTAATAAGCGAGCAATGGTAATATCGCGCGTAGTATTGTATCAGTGGTTTCAACCAGTTTGACAAGGCTCCTCAAACCTGAGTGATCGATATACACAGGAATTACTTTACATAAACCTTTAAAGTCTACCTTGAAAAAGACTGAGCACGTTCAGTTTTGCCGAATAGCTCTGAAATAGCATTCATCCCTATTTTTTTCGTTGGCAGCAGAAAATAACCTGTCATGCAGTTGATCTCAAAACTCAATTGGCAACATAAGTCGCTAGATAATAGGGACTAGGCCACACAACGCGCTGCTTGCCTTAACAGCTGCTTTTTGATTCTCATGCTTCTAGAGTCCCGAGGACGAGATATTTAGCAAAGTTAAAGATGTTGACTGTCGGCTTTCCTGCCACACTTACGTAGCCTAGGCATACTTATGTAAAATCGAGGTCCCTGGAAAACCTGCATGATACGAAATATGGCTATTCGAATGCAACTAGCCAAAAGAGACCCTGTGATTACTTAGCTGTCATGTGTCATGTGTCAGTCCCTTAGTACCGTTAGACTAGCTTAAGCTCTGAAGTTTAAATCGTTTATGCTAGTATTAACTAGAGTACCATCTGTTCAGGGAGCTTTTATGTTCTTTATTCAAGCTCTGTCAACTAGCAGTAACGGAAAGCTAAAACTATACGTGAATAGGATTAAAATCATACAACTGAAGATTAATTATTCAAGATTCAGTCACCTAATCACGGAATACGCTTTAGAGCTTAAAAATAGGGGCATGCAAGCTGCAGTGAGCCGCATCTCGGGTGCAAAGGTATTGCCGAAAAAGTTTCATTAGTCACTCCCAGAAACCCTCAAATATACATTTCTGCGAATCTCAGATCTAAGGTCTAGGCGGGCTGAATTTAGCAACCATCAAGAATTTCCTGCCATTAATTGACCAAGATGAAACACAATCGGTGTGCTGAGCTCAGCTTGATGCTATTAAATTTGCAGAGCCAGTTGCACAATTTCAAATGAAGATGCCGGCATATGGCCTCGGAGTTGGATTCATATCAAGTGGGACCCATCAGTAAACACGTTGGCCGTTGACAGAAAACAACCTGATGCGTGTATCGATCGTGAGACAACATACCATGTGGATAAGGCTGTCTGAGCCCTCACCCGCTTTGCCAAAACATGAATCATTGCCTGTCACAGATACCTAGTATCATTCGTACGAACTGGCTATCGTACTAACGTCTTCTGAATGTGTCTACTTCCGACCCTCATACCACATCTCAAGGCTAGCAGCAAATGAAGAATTTACGTTGGGAAAAATACTGAACGCAAGGCCGGTCGCTCGACCGTGATGATGGATAGATTTCGATGTCCTTGACCCGAATTCCTCTCAATAGAGTCTTCAGAGACCAACCTCGGGTACGAAATTCCCAGATTGAGAGCCCGGGCTCATTGGAAAGTGACTCTGCCAAAGAGTCCACCGATATTCCTACTAAAAAAACCCGAAGTTCCGGAAAGAAGCCTTTGCGGCTTGCTCAGACCACAAACTTCGGATCAAGTGAGACGCAAAATAACTCCATCAGATCTCCTGATGAGAACAAGATATATATAAGCTCACCTAACTCTACCACATCTTCTAGTTCGATCACCAATTCTAGTGATAGTCACAGGAAGCTCAAACCTCGCAATAGGAATACTCTAACACGCCCTAGAAGCCTTAGATCTATTAGGTCAAAATCTAAGGATCTACTTTCTTCCCTTACACCCAAAAACAACCAACGTGGTCTTAGACCATTATCATTGCCAAACATGGCTGCACGAGGGACCAGAACAGCTAAGATGCTGGAATACGAGAGACAGGCCGAAGAGCGGCTGAAAGAGATGGAAATAATGGCCGAGGAGCGGAACCGTATGCTCGAGGAGCTAATGAAAATTCAAAAAGAGCAAGATCGTATTGCACAGGAGGAATATGAGATGGCACAGTACTACGAAGCGGAAGCATTAAAGCATGCCGAAGAGATTCGTATACATCGTGAAGGTAAGAAAATATACTCTGATGTTGATAGTTTAAGCTGCTGATGTCAATAAAGAGGTACGGCGTCATCAAGAGCGTATCCGTGATCATGAAGTAAAACTACGTGACCATGAAGCTACCTCTGAAGCTTTTGCCAAAGTAATAGCCATGCCTGCTAGACAAGGCCGAGACAGACAAGTCTCTTTTCAACAATCTGTAGGAGGTCGCTTAGGCGGAAAACCAAACAACGGCTGAAGATCGAAATACCACCTTTATCACTAAAACCTCCAAATTAACCTTAATCTTAATACACTTCAACCAAGGTTAAGTCATATCATCATGGAAAAGACAAACCACTAGGACCAAAGTTATCAATAAACGCACACTTACAAATCCTTGAAACACATGGAACTTATGGAAAAGATAAAAGGATTCCACCAGAGTGGATGCTCCGAATATTTGTGAGTTCTGCCTATCCAGCAATGTACCTTGATTGAATCATGCCGTATTTCAAACATGAAAACGAAAAATCTAACTATTATTTGTAGATCTGTACTGGATCAAATAAAAGAAACATCACCAAATTCTCAGCTGTTGTCTTGGTAACACTTCGAGTATCCAAATATCGTTGCGCATCTCACCCAAATTTATCTTGGGGATATCCAAAGAATGAAGCAGTATCATGACAAATGCTACCTCCAAATTGTATGTACATCGACTTTCCTCCTATGGGCGGAATTCCACCACTGTGCTATATTTTCAATTTTTGAAAGTAACAAAGGGTATAGCAGTATTATCGGCTTAGTTATGAAGTGCGAAATATATCATTGTCTCATAAAGATTTTCGCCTCAATTGTACAGCTCCAATAAGAATGCTAAACTTACCAGATCTAATGAAGGGGTCCTGAGATTATTGATTCAACCCTCTCTTCTGGGCAGTAAGATCAGTCATATTAATTGTCAAGCCCTGTGATTAAGATGACATTTCCTCCCTATGAACGCTACGAGAAAAGCGATTATGTCATGGAGACACTGCCTCTCTGCGTTGGCGGTGCACCAGCGACACATTCTACATGAGAATACCGAGTGTATCTCAAAATTAGTTAATTCTGGGTCTAAACCCCAGCGCTCTTAAGCCCACAAACGAGTTTTGAATAACGGTCAGCCTCAAATAACCCAAAGAGAACCATGTCAACGTCACGATATCCTCATACGCTTAAACAAGGAGAGGCTGACTGGGTTTCGAGGCGTAACTGAAGCCTAATGATCGTCTGCCATAATCGACCCGTATGTCGTGGCTGATTGGCCCCGTACTTTCACAATGCTAGGCGAAGCGTCGACGCCAGAGCGACCGGGAGAATGACATTATTATTTCAATAAATAAATGTTAGTGGTGGAACCCTATCTAATCAAGTCCTTTCGGTACAATTCGCCTCACCCGCTGCGCCGTGCCCCAGCTCGCCCCACAGAATGACTGTTTTTCCACAAGTCCCACTATCTTAATGGCCATTAATGAATCCCAGTGTACACCGCCATCACGCCTCGAACAGGCCATATTCCACATGAAAACGCCGTAATTATGCATAGAGGAACAGCTGTACCTCATGTTTCGAGTATTATGCCATAGATTTAAGGCTCTTTATCGCGGACATTAGCTGTCAGTCCGATAAAACTTTTTGTAAAGCAAATGGAGAAAGAGATTGACGTTCAAGCGAAGGCTACCCTCAAAGAGCTCCATGTATTGATGGTTAGCAAATTGTGCGGCCAAGAGAGAATCCATTGACACAGAGGCGCTGGCGCCAGGGATCTGAATGCTGCCCTTGCTTCCTTCTAAAGCAAAAATCCCTACTTGATCACAAGAAATCGTGAGATTGGTCTTATCCCATTCGCGATCTCCATAGCACTTCCACGCGGCGAGAACACCTTTATCGTAGAGAGTTCGGGCCGAATATTTGAAGGATCCAAACTTCGGCTTGCGCCCAGATCGTTCAAGCTCCTTCTCATGGTTGTATTGTTTCGAAAAAGGCATGAGAAAACGTTTTTTTCTGTAAAGATTAGCAGATACCTTGTGAGGGTACTAAAAGGAGAAGGGGAACCAACCCTTTCTTCTGCAAAGTTGTCATAGCTTGCTCAATGTAGTTATCATAGCTCTTTCTTTGCGAATCAAGCCATTCTGCTTTCTCATTCAGGTTCGTTAAAGTGAGACGCACGCCCTCAAGTTCACGCTGTCTCATCACCCTTCGTCGACTTTTGGTGCGGATATCTAAGGCGATAGCGTTGAGAATATCCTGATAAAAATTTTTCCTTGATATTCTTCCAAGTTGCTCGAGGCTCATGATATTTTCAAGTGCTGTACGCTTTAGATCCTTGTAAGACATTGACTTCACGTCCACCAATGTATTGGCATCCGAGTACGCCCCTCGAGTTCTGCTGTGCGCTGAGAACTCTTCATTGATGATTGTATGCCACTTTCTATCGTCCTCTGGTGTGATCGGACGTACAAGGATATCCATAAGATTAGAGCCGGTTTGGACACGGATGATATACAAAATGCAACGCTTGGTCTCCATGAAAAGTGCCTTAACCTCAGCCTCTGGATCTTCCAAATCATGAAGCTTGGGACTTAGGGTCATTTGAATTTCAGTTGAGGTTACTCCCAGCATTTCAGTTTCGTTGCTCTTAGCACTTCCTAGCTCTTGCAGCATGTCTCGAAGAACATCGTCCCGACTGGGACAAATTTCTGGAAGATGTGCTGCGATAAGCTGATGGATTGCGAAAATGTCTGCCATTTTGATATACAAAGTCGGTTTTACCTTGGCGTAGAGATCGTTAAACTCATCAATGTGAAATGTGCCCTCAGCATCTGGCACCAACATAATATCAGCAAAAATGAGAGATGTTCTTTTGATTGCATTCTCAATATATGCGTTCAGCGGTTGGAGATATATGTTGTCCCCGCCAAATAACTTCCCGGAGGTAATCTGGCCAAGAACTTTGGCGACTTCTTTCAGATTATGCTTTTGTAACGGCGTCAAATGCTTGTCAATAACCCCCATAGTTTCTGGAGCTATCAGAGCGGGTTGAAGATATATCTTCCATAGCCAGCTTCCCACGACTTGTAGGAGAATACTTTTGGGTTCAAGAGATAGATGTTCACAAAGAGCTTCAAAGAGTTGTTTGCAAATAAATTTGATTCCATATGGCATTTTGTGGACGAAAGTCTCCAAAGCAAATATAAACTCGTCGACTATTCCACGAAGGTCCTGGAGATGATTAATAAACATCTCCCTTGTCTCGTTATCTTTTATAGCTTCTTCCCTACGAATACTGAGGGATCTATGACTTGATTTTCCAGTCCGAAGTTCTTCATTATTGACAGCAGATCTATAGATTTGCATTGGATCACTTTCGAGATCCAATTCTGGGTTCCCTAATATACTTCCTTGTATCATAGGGCCAAGTAACTCACGCAGAAACTTTCTATCTCTCGGTGATCTAGTATAATTTCTTACTATCCTATTCCAAAAGTGACCACCTCGGAGGTATTCCTGAATGGAAGTTGTACTACTGATTTCTTCTTTTGCTGAGCGACTTATAAGCTTCAGTAAATAGTACTCTTCCCGACGCTTTTGTGCATACCCAAACAAAGCCATAATCATTGTTTCAATTCGTTTACAGTCTTTTTCGGCGGTTCCTTGTTCACGGATCCGTTTGAAAATCTTTGCTAAGTATCGGGGCTGCGTTTGAAGGGTAAAAAATAATTGCTGGTAACTCTCTAGCTTCTTACGGGAGTTCTTATTTAAGGCCTTTAGATCGAATTGATTACCTGAATTTAATGCGGTATTAACAAGGAGGTTACCTGGGTGGCCTCCAAAGTTTTTTTGGTGTTTGACAACCTCGTCCAAAGTTATTTTATTCTTGACTAGCAGAGCAATTTTTATATCGAGCTGATCTATGTACTGTTCTGCCATTTCATTTTGGCGTACCTGTTGAACCACAGTTTTTCGTAAACATTCGAATTCTACTTCCTCATTAAAGTCAAAGTCGCTGTCATTTAGAAGATGGACAAAATTTTTTACGGTGTTGACAGGTGGATTTTTCCCTGTTGTCAAACTTTTATAGGCCTCTCCTTGGATTCGACCTCGCACAAAACTCTGAATCTTCACAACTTTCTCCATGTTCTCTTTAAAAAACCGCATTTTTTCGTTGAACTTGGAACGAATCAGAAAAGCCCTAGCTGCTGCTTGTAATGATATAATCGAATCCGATTCAAAATCGAGATCTGTGATAATTGCTGAAATAATATCCCGAGAAAGAATCGCTCTAATTTGAGCTTGGAGCTCAGCCAGCATTGAAGAATGTAAATTTAATTGATCTGATCTTGCTCGTATAGAATTGCGCCCAAGATAACCTCGGGCAATGGCTTCAAATTGTGAAACTTGAATGGTCGATGTAAATAGGGCCTCATGATCATTTCCAACTCCACGGCGGGTCAGCATACCTCTGATGCGTGTTTGTATAAAAACTATGGATAAATCTTCGCTAGATAGTGCATTACTCATTCTCTGTACGTAAGAATTTATTTGTTTAGCTCTAATGATAGCTTGCAAATACAAAATCGAAGAATCATGTCTTTTCAAATCATCTATTAAACTTGTATATTTATTTCTGAGGCAGTTCCCTCTTAGAATAGACTGAAAAGAAATAAATGTTGGTGATTTTGTCGTCAATGTAGTTTTTAGGAGGCAGTGATTTTTTCTTCGGATAATTGCTCGCGAATTTGATTGTATAGAGATTATCGAAGCGTTATTCAAACTCAAAGCATGAAGGTCTCTCACGATAGACGTTCTTAACATATTACCTCGGATGGCAGCTTGTATATCCTTAACCACACTTGAGCATAGAAAAACTTCATCTTTCTGTGCTACAGTAGCTCTACGGCATAGCATGCCACGAAGATTTGATTGCAAATTTTTGATCGAATGTATACAATTTAAAATTTCATTTTTCCGGGCACTTATGGCCCTGCGAATCAGTAGGCCTCGGATATCTGATTGTAGGTTTTTGTATACATCGGTATAAGACATAAGCTCGCGTTTCTGTAGAGCGACAGTTCGACGACTCAATTGGCCTCTTACACTAGCTTGCAAAAATTTCATCGTGTTAGAGTGTACTAGGATTTCATTTTTCTGTGCAAAGACTGCTCTGCGGATTAGTAGGCTCCGGATATCTGATTGTAGTTTTTTGTATACACCGGTATAAGATATAAGCTTGTGCTCCTGTAGAGAGACAGTCCTGCGTTTCAATTGGCCTCTTACATTAGCTTGCAAATATTTCATCATATTGGAGTAAATCAGGACTTCATTTTTCTGAGCAAGAAGGGCTCTACGAATTAGTAAGCCTCTTGCCAGCGATTGAAAGTTCCTGATCACGCACATATGTGTGTGAGTTTGATCTCTCTGTATAGTGATAGCAGTGCGCATCATAAAGCCTCGGATTTTCGATTGCAGATTTTTTATTGCCTCGGAGTTCTTTGAGAGTTTTTCTTTCTGAATAGTCATGGCCTGCCGTGTTAGGAAGCCTCTCATTCTAGCTTGCATCTTTTCTATTCCCGGAACATTTTCCCTCAAATTAGAAAAATTCGATTGTAATTTCAACCTCACATTCTTTCCCCGGATCAGACTTTGGATTTTCTTAATATAGAGTTCATTGCTTTTACAAACTGATTTCTTGTTTGCGTGACTAAAGCGAATTAGCAGCCCGCGGGCTCTACTCTGAATATTTATTGCGAAAATACGCATACTTCCTCGGTATCTTGCAATTTGACGAGAGAAATCACCTCTAATAAGGGCCTGGAGCTCAACTAGTCTTTCTTCTGAATCCCACAGCTGTTCCATGATAGATGCTAGTCGCATTCTTTCTATGGCTCCTCTGGCTTGAGCTTGGATATCGATGATGATGGGAGTATTTTCATCAAGCTTCCGAATTATTTGATTTGCATCATTATCTGAAGATGTCTGTTCTGGTTCTGGAAGCGACGGGACCCCAAAATCTACGCTCATATTACCAAAGATTGGCATATTTACACCAGCCATTTCAAGTCCTTTTTGCATCTCTTCTAATTCATGATGTTCGAACTCCAATTGCCCAAGAAGATTCCCTATCTGAAAATCCACGATTCCTTTCCTAAAAAGTAGCCAGCTTAGCGCGTGAACACAATAAATTACTTTTGGGGTATTTTTCTTCTCATATAAATCAGTCAGCTCAAAGCGGAATAAATCTGGGAGCTCAACATCGGCGAGAAATCGAAAGAAGATAGCGATGTTATCTGAGTGCCTATATTGAAGTTTTGGATGGCGGAATATTCGGATTTGTTTGTTAGGACAAAGCGTTTGTACGATCTCTGCCAAAGCGACTCCATCCCTTAGCGACTCCTCAAGTTGGACAATTGGCGGGATAGGCTTCTGCAGGATATCTTCTATCCATTCTTTGGCTTCACCTATATGACAGAGATATTCGTAAGCCTGTATAAACTGCCTTTGCTTATCCATCCAGTTCCTAAATTCCCATCCGTATCCAGCTCGTGTTGAAGAATATACGCCATTCCTTATAACAGTATCACTTCTCTGTAACCTCCGTCGGCCATGAAGGCCAGTTACCTCTTGGTTTGGGGAAAGAATGCTGAATTCTTCTGTAGATGCATTCCTAGCAAATTTAGAGAGTGTTCGCAATTGACTAGTGGAAGATCTTTGTAATTCTTGGATATCAGATGCTCGCAGAGGAGAGTGAGAATGCGATACTGCATGGCCTCTTACTGATCCGGGTCTTCTACGAATAGAATTTTCCCTACTTATTATTGTTGAGCCTGTTTTCTTGGGTGTTAAATCTGAGTTCAAGCGCGTCTTGGGAGATCCTAAAGACGTTTTCGCCGAAGTGTAAGTTTGGTTTTGAGGAGGCTTTACTTCATTTGATACAGGCGAGTTAGATGTGTGGGACTGTATGTAAGCTGAATATTTCGGACTTTTATACGGACTTCTCGAAGAGCTAAGATAAAGGCAATCTTTCTCGTGCGCATTGCAAGATCCTTCGATTCCTCTACTCGTCCCAAGGCTGTTTGTATATTCACATGACTCGTTGGATGAATTCGTGCTTGTCCTGTAGATTTCAGAAGCGCTTGAAGTATTCGAAATTGAGGTAGAAGCGGTAGATGCGTTGGAAGTCTGGCGCTGGTTAGAGGAGAGCTCGACAGTGTGTGAGTGCCTGAATGGATGATTGTACGACATCAGGGTTTAATTTTTCTAGTAGCCTTGGGTCTTCTGAGGGTTTAACAAAGTTAAGTAAACCTATCGTACGCAGAGGACGCTAGAAATTTAGGCAGTGTTCGCAGTATGTATGTAGGCGGTCCAGCATAAATTAGTATTAAGGAAAGTCGCAATCGTGGTTCTCGCCTGGGTGAACTAAGGCGCATCGCGCAGATTACAAGCAATTTGAAATCGATTATAAAATTGATGTTAGATATCAGGTAAAGTGATGGTGATCAAAAGTGCTTCGGGTTTAAATTGACTGAATGATAATTGACTTGTAGTACTGGATTCCGGCCAATCTTTGTTGTCAGTAAACAATAAAAAGACCAATTAGAAGGAAGACTAGAGCCCCACCCTATTTGACGAAGCCCATCCCACATTCACCCTTAGTTTTTATTGAATGGTCCACTTGAACAACTTTCATACGGTAATTCAGCAGATATATCTAGCCAATTCATAGTGAAAGAGGATGCGGTCGTGTAATCATGCCATACGGAGATCGTTTCATGGTGTAGGAACTCCCTCCTCGTCCTCACGCATCAGCACGTGAGTCGCTAGTTTCTATAGTAACTATGCGCATCTAGAGGTGAAATAAATCTGATGTACGCCGTCAAGATCGCACTAGGATGCTTCCCTTGTGTAAATTACAGAAAGTAAAACACGAGTAAATAGTATTTTAACACACCCCTTAGTTTACAGAAAAGATGTTCTTGTCTAGATATATTTCACAGATTTCGCTCTAACGGCCCAACATCCTCAAGGTATAGTCCTATATCCAACGACACTTTTGATTCCAGGGTAGCAAAACAGTGACAATGAATATCAACTTGCCAAATTTCGACAGACATTGAAAGATGACCAAAACTATGATCCAAGTTGATCAAGATCGAAGCAATGGCAGAATACTTGGAATAGACAGAACTAAACAATTGTTCAAACACAGATAGCAATTTTTTTGACGGGAGGAAATTTGACAAATAATAAAATTTCAAACCGGCTATCGATCTCTTGCCAGCACAACTGGATTATCAACCAGGGATTCAAATAAGCCTATGATGACACTTCAACAATCGTTAAATTGTTCCATACAAGTCTATGTATGAATGACCTGTTTTTGTTAAAGATAATCTTCAAACATTCATAGAGCACTGTAGGGTAAATATCAAACCTTTCGCTGATGCCTAATTACGATTTCAAGGATCATTCACTCTTATAGTCGAAACTTTTGAAAAATTTGCAGCCTTTCTGGTACACGCCATTACAGTGTTGAGAGAAGGGACTATTCTCAACACCTGTCAGTCGTGTTCCGTGCGAGCCTCCAGCTCTACTAGTAGAGTCTGCAGAGCCGACTTTGAGTAGTAAAGTCCTCACTTCGACGAGGATTCTCAATCGATTTCGCAATCTGTATCGTCTTCATCTCTTAACACGTCCCCCTATAATCATTATCATGAAGCTAACCACGATCAGATCAGATGGTAGGGTCGGAGCCCTTCTCATCACCAACTCTTGATCATCAAGGAGATGCCATCCGATGAGCTTCCGGAGCTTACCCAGCACCTGATATGGAGATGGCGGATTGGATCAAGTCGGCCTCGACTGTTACAAAGAAGGGAGATATAGATGAATATGCGCACCTCATGTGGGCCCGGTGTCTAGGCCTCGCCTGGCTGGGACTGCAAGTTTTTTGTAACTTTTCCCGCGCACGCAGTTTCTATTGCTTCCATTTTTTTGGGTAGAAAGTTCCGGAGAAAAAATGACCGAATTCCACGGGTAACTACTGAGCTGAATGGCTATTCATCAAGGGGAATATATTAATGATCTTTCAAGTAACAAAAGAGGATAGGAGCACTATACAAGGTGTGGCCTGGATCAGAGAGGAGCCCAATGTGCTGGATAGACGTGGACTCAAGTAGTACTATAAATACACCTCTCACTCTCAACACTGTTGTCGTTGTTGTTTCTGTTGAATTTTTAAAGCCCTGAGCTAAAGTAAAAGGCTCTACATCCTCCTATTGGTACAGGCCGGCAAAGACGAATGCTACACCCTCCAGTGGTGCCAGTGTAATCGTTCAATATGCTCTGCATATCTGGGATAGCCAAGAAGAACCGCATCCCAAATCGGAGTCGAAAGCGCTCGCAAGCACATCTAAAATCGACGACTCATCATCCATGTCCGACCTATAATTCTCACGTGAGTCCTCCACCTTAATCTTACCACACCACCTCGCCTCAAATACCGATAATGGCGTTACTCCAATTGTAATTAGGCGTTAGCCTCATCGAAAACCGGCCATCTTCCACTGCATATTTACGACGCTATGTATACCCGCGAGGAGGAAATTAAGTCATAATCTACAAAGCTCGGGTCTTGGTCTATGGGGGGACTGTTGCTCTAATGGGGCTTCACATCTTGAGGGAGGATAGGTAGCTGGTACGTGGGACGAACGAGTGAAGAGATCACAAATGTGCATGCCATGACGCACATTTTTCGAGTATTTTCGACTTAAGTGGGTCTGTGGGCGCCGAGGTAACGATTTATGATAGTGCTATCGACATTTTAAAAGCAGGCAACGATGGAAGGTATTTTGGTCCGCCTCCTGGTTGTCATCTCCCCGAATTGAAGTCCGGGTAGCCTGAAAACCTACCTCACTCGAGAAAGGGAGGACCGTAAGACCCCACCTCGCGTGGCAGCTATATACAAGATGACAAAGGCATGTTAGGACAGCCAAAGTTTTTTCCTGTTTTTCTTTTAGTGGATATTAACGGTTGAGGGAAGAGTGAAGATTCTTGGCACAAATGTCTCAAGTGGTTTCAGCGAATGCACCCACTATATGAGTAGTTCAAATGTCATACTGAGTTAATATCGTATATAGTCGTCGGAGAAGCTTGCCTTCTCTGTATGAAGCTCTTTCAGTGCAGGGCTTGTGCCCGTCACGAATAAACTTTCATTCATTACTATTGGTACAGGACAAGTGGAGCCGGTGAGGATCACTGTATACAGGCCTAACTCATTTCAACCGCGTGAACTCCCACATAAATGATGATGTTAACAGCAAAACAAAATTTTAAAATTTAAAACTTAAAACAAAAGCAAAAATAAAAATCAAATTCAGAAGAAATCCCGATTAGGTCCGGATCCCGCGCTTCTCGCCCGTTCCCTTTCCTGTCACATCTTCCAAGTGACACTTTCTGACCTTCGCTGAGAGCAGAAGATGAGCTCGCAGGCACCCTTTTCCCATCTGGTGTCCTACTGTTAGTATGTTGAAGCCTCGACGACTTCACTGAGGCTGGCCGCAACCTTAAACCTCCTCTTCGGATGCCAGAATCCCAAAACCCGATCCGTCTGACATATAGACGTCATTCTTCGCACCGTGAATCGCCTGAATGGCTATTTCGGCTGCAGCTCTGTTGCGAGTAAAATCTGCGTGATTTTTCTGCTCGATCTTGCGAATTATCGCAAGCTGCTCTTTTTTCACCGGGCCGAACTTGCTGGGTCTAGCTTTGCAGGACCGCGAATCCCATCGATGAGGTCCACCACATTTTCGGCACCGTGTGAGGGCTTTGCACTCCGTTTCCGAGTGCATTTTTGATCCGCAGTTCCAGCGAGCCGGAGCGCGAGAGCAACCGCGTGAGTCATGGAAGCCAAGACATCGATTGCACTGAACTATATTTCGACGAGGTTCGAAGAGCTTTGCAGCTCCGGCGTCATCGAAGAAGCGAAATCCAGGTCGGGGCGTGGATTCGCGAGGGAAGAGCGCTTGACAGTTTTGGTATGGCGCTCCAGGTTTGCAGGTCCTGTGAAGACGAAC